TGTGTGTGTGTGTGTGTGTGTGTGTGTGTGTGTGTGTGTGTGTGTGTAACAGGACTCTGCAGGCGAGCCCTTGTACAAACTGTTCAAAGCCATCAAGCACCAGATTGAGAAAGGCCCCGTGGATGTCAGAGTGAAGAAAGCCAAATACACCCTCAATGACACAGGCCTGTTGGGTGACGACGTAGAGTACTCTGTCCTGGTGAGATCGACGCGCACACACTCACTCACTCTCACACACACACATGCACAAACACACACAGAGCAACCCTCACAAACAGTCATAGAAATTCAGAAACTCAGCGTCATAAAAACTGCACACTCTGCTTCAAGATTGCATGGTGTTTTGTGCCTGGTGAGCAATACAAACACGCACACATACACACTGTGCAGTTGCCGTGGTAACCCCCCCCCCCTTCCCCCAAAAAAAAGCCCTGAGGCGACTGCCCGCTTTTGTGTGACATCCATTTTCAGTGTCAATGTTCTCAGCTCAGAAACGACACAGCCAACACATTCCAGCGTAGCAGGGAAATGTGTGGCTTAGGTTAAAGTCCTACAAGTGGGAACAAGTATGGAGTACAAGCCACCTCCACAACCTCCCCTCAACCTCGCAGCCTGCACCTGCTCTCCGTCCATTTGGGCAGCTTTCAGGAGTCAGGAAATGCCCGTGTGTCTCGTTTTGATATTGTGTCTCGGTAATGGAAGCTAATATGAACCCAGCTGTTTTTTGTTAAAGTCAGCACAAATAAAAAGACCCATGGGTAATGGCGTTGTCGAGGACAATTATCAAATTAGCCTGAGTTACACGTCTCCTTCTGTGATGGATTGCTTTCTGTGATTGAATTACACAGGGAGGAGGAAAAAAAAACGCTTGAGAGATTTCAAAAGCAGATGCATTGCTTCCTACTGGCTTAAATTTACAGCGTGCTACTCTTATGCACTTTATATGCTGCTGGGCTGATAGGGTTGCCATTGTGAGTGTATTCCCTGGCTCACATTTGAAAGTGTTGAATGGTCAGTTATTTCTAACAGAATTGGATGTGAGAGGCGAGGCGGGTCAGAGTTGGCTCCCGCTGAGCTTTGGTCATTAGCTGGCCTAAAGTCCTGTCAGGTGTCATCAATGTGTGTCTGTGTGTGTGTGCCTGTGTGCTTATAAAGCCCTGTTGCTGTGACAACAACATCCAAATAGAACTTGGCGTGGGTGGGTGCCTGGGTGCTCTGACCATGTTTGAATATTTCTGCATGTTTGTATTTTATTAACGTAGGTGCACGTTATCAGCGTGAGGTATTAATGTGCGATTCTGTTTGTCAGACCTTACAAGTGCTGGTTCAAGGCGAGGGGCCGGATGTTACGCCCGTCAAGGTGCTGAACTGTGACACCATCTCGCAGGTGAAAGAGAAGATCATCGAGCAGGTGTACAGGAACCTGCCATACTCCCAGCGGCCCAAAGTCGACAGCGTCACCCTGGGTGAGTAAATGAGGGCCACCTAAAAAAAAGCAGATGAACTAAAGCAGGAACGTCTAGTAATGATAAATAATGTAACTGTTATTTCAGTCTTAAGTGAAATTAATTCATAATTAAATGAGAAGTGAGTTATCAAGTGAGAGGGTGAATAATTATTTCATTTCACATGTATTCAGTATATTTTATTATTTTAATAAAACAGCTTTTTATTTCAGTTTGTGCAGTAAAAGAAACCAACTTAGCTTAGAATTTATTCATTGTCAGCAACATGAAGAAATCGTTCATCCCTAAACAAAGCTACGCTCACTACTGTAATCAGAAACCTTGGGGAGTGACTTGAAAGGCTAAAGCTCCACAGACATTTTCTAACTTCAAAGACATTTTTTTATTCCCACGCACGCTGTAGATCTCATTCCTTTATACATTTTAGATAAGCAGAGATCTGTTTCTTTCAGGCTAACTGCCTTGTATTTAGTTTTAGTTGTAAATGAAATACAGACGGTGGTGGGCTCAGTTATGCAGAATGTCTTTGGGTGCAAACTTTTCTATTATGTTTCAATTATGCAGAAACTACTGACATGTGACTTCTTCACCCGAGTTCAGCCATATAGCTAACAGGCGAATTTAATAAATGCATCATTAAATCCCAAGAGATAACTGAGCAGATAGCTGCATTCGTCAAAGATCACATTATTACAGTGTAACCACAGGACAGCTGCATCCCAGGATAAAAGTAATTGAAATAATATAAAAAAGTATTTTATTTGAAATGTTTTACTCCCACAGCAGAGATAATTTGCGTTTTGAATAACTGTCTAATCCTGCCTTCATCACAGAGTGGCGCCCTGGCTCAACGGGGCAGATTTTGTCGGATCTGGACTTGACCTCCCAGAAAGAAGGCAGGTGGAAACGCATCAATACTCTGGCACACTACAACGTGAGTACCGCAAAAATTTACTATGAAGTAATAAGAATTGAAATTACAAAATGACTGGGGTTCAGTATCTGATGTAAATCAATGACCATTTAATGTGCATTCAGTTCAAATGTATAATGTAATGTATATGTAGAGTTTCTATATGTATTTTCTTTCTTTTTTTCACAATAACAAAATGTTTATATACCTTACTTTTTTTACCACCAATTTATACCTAAACTCTCAGTATAAATAAGTATACATATAAATACTTATTTATATATAAGCATTTAAACTTACCTTTAGGTAAAAATAAATTGCTCGTACTTGTCTCTTTGCATACTAGAAGTCTCTTCTCTTGGTTATCTGTCTTTCTATGCAATCCTACATCCTTCCAAGTATTTTCTGCAATAAAAAAAATAGCAAGATGTATGGCAAGGACACAGCTTTCTGCTTACAAAGCCACATTGTAATGTGTTGTTTTGCATATAAAATTACTGTCATGCAACAGCTCACATGTGACCCTACCTGAGGAAACAAGATTAAGATTTCTTTTTTATAAAATATGTATGAAATACCATAGCAAGAAAAAGTAAATGTGCGATATGTTCTCAAGGATAACATTGGAAGCTTCCTTTTATCTTTTTATATGACTCTTTAGTTCAAGTCCAACAACCATCACAGAGTTTTCACTCTCCTTTCTATGCCAGTAACTACTAAGCTATGTAAAAGCTAAGAGAAAAAAAGCTTTTATCCTTAAAGTGCTGCTAAAAGATTTCATCATTAACTTTTATGGAGTGTATAGGTGTTCAAGATAGATCATTTACGATAATGTTGGCCCAAAGAATATGCTATGCAATAGCACTGTAATAAAATTCTTCACTTTTGTTTTTATCACCTACAAATTTTAATTTCTTACCTGCGAGTCCCATAGCTTTCTCTTTGTTTGGTCTTGTTGGCTCTCAGTGGTGACAGAATGCCACTAAATCTTCTTGGCACTGTATTGATCCACAGAAAATAAAGGTCACTCGCGAATATCCCCTACCTGTTCTGCTTTTCAGCCACTTAAATCCGCCTCTTTTAAAGGTGCTCGAGTTTCTTTCATCCTACCTGCTGTCTCGCTGTTGTTCTTAGACAACAGACCTGCTCCTATAGATTCATTGGCTGTGTCAGGGTAGCGCTAATCACAGTATTTGTGGGGTCAATAATAGGTTGGCGCCAAAGAAAATGGCCTGTAAATATCCCAATAAAGACTCACTGTTCGTGTCCGCTCATTCGCATTGATTAGGAATTAGATCTGGGTGCTAAAAGGCACTGCTGACCACAGTCACAGTAGCTATTAAATTCAAAGGTGTGTGACGTTTGCATCGTTGTGTGTGTTGTCATCTAACAAAATGATTGACTGTACATTCCAGGTGCGGGATAACGCCACATTAGTTTTGTCCAAAGTGCAGCACACGCAACAGAACTATGACCAGAATCAGGAAAACCACGAGGAGCGTACGTATCTCTAAGTACACGCATACCGTGCACATAAACACACGTGTTGAACCCAGAAGGACACAGATGAAATGTGTACTTGAGAGTTCCTGCCTTTGTTCTGTTTCTCCAGGGTTTTTGTCCATATTCCCACGACCAATTAACATGCTAATACATGTTGTTTTATGTATAACACGATTTGAGATTATGCAGAAATAGTATGTCCTTTTATCTTCAGCTTTTTTATGTACATTTGAGAGTATTTGATGGTTTAGCATTTCTTCTAGGATAGTCTCATTCAAATTCAGTAGACACACCCTCTCATGTTTTTATTTTAATCGTCTGAATGTTTTCTGTAAGCATGTGCATGAATAAATAAGAAGTAGAATCGTCAAAAGAAAGTTTACACCAGTGTTTTCCTCCAATAGGAAATGCTTTATTGGAAGATGATAAAGTGTTTCACTTGGTGAGGCCAACAGACGAACTGGATGAGACCAAATCTAAACGAGGAAGCATAAAGGACAAGTCGATGACCAAAGCCATTACAGAGATCTATCTAACAAGACTCCTTTCTGTAAAGGTACAAGAAAAAAACATTTATGCAATTATTACAGTAAGTAGGGCACTGTTACACTGACTAAACAGTAAAATTCTGCTTTACAAACCAAGGTTTTTCCAAGTTAAAGCTATTTTGGAAAGAGCCGAAAATGCACAGTAAAAACTTGAATAGCTATACTCTCCTTGCAAATTGATGTGCCTCTGGTATTTCTGGCTGCGCTCTGTGTCTCTGCCCCGTCTCACATTATTTGTGGCCCCTTTCAGGGAACACTGCAGCAGTTTGTGGATGACTTCTTCCGCAGCGTGCTGTGCTCTGGGGCAGTGGTCCCACCAGCTGTCAAATATTTCTTTGACTTCCTGGATGAGCAAGCGCTGAAACACAACAATGTGGATGAGGAGACTATCCATATCTGGAAGACGAATAGGTAAAACAACAGGTCGACTGTGTACACTAATGATCACTCTCAGAGTTCCTTTTTGTATGCTGTATGTTAGTATGTGGATGTACTCCAAGTATCAAAAGTACAAAAGTATTTGTTTCCGGCCTCATTCCATGAAATCAATCAGTCCACATGACTCCCTCAGAATAAGCATCAGACAATAACTATTTCTGTGTTACTGTCCCCTGAAGTACGTATGAAGTACTATTTTTCCCCAGATTTTATGGGCCCGCATAACTTTATAAGTACAGGAGATAGCCACTTAAACTTTATTCTCACCTGAAAAGCAAATTTAAGCTCTTTTAAACACAGGAACCCACTCGCAAGTGTTGCGATGTAAAACAAAAATCTTGTTTTTATTTGCCAGGATTTTTTTTCTATGACCTACTTTATGCATCAGTATCAGAGAATATATCACAGTTTTTCACTGCAGCAATTTATGGTCTAAGATTTAGAGTAACAGAAGAATCTGTGCCTGGGATTAATTTTTTTATTTACTAGAGGACAATTTAAAAAGTGGATTTGGGGTCATTCTCGAGGGTTTTATCTGTATAATATTTTGGACGTAATACACTGATCAAATAGGTTTAGGTCCTAAAGAAGTTTTCCAATCCTTGCAATTAGAGCATGGAAAAGGGTGGAGATCGCAGAGTGCTCCTCTGTGGCTCTGTGCTCCATGTAGTCAATATAGATATCAGCCTTTGCCATTAAGGGATGTTAGATGGTCATTAGCAGCTAGTTCATTGTTGTTGATGTTTCCTTCCCTGAGAGGCATTTTTTTCCCCACTTGCTATTAACGGTATTTCAACCAAATGTCTATAATTACTACATCTTGTTCCCTCCTTCTTAATAGAACAGGAAGTTATGCAGATAGTTTCATACATTTTGACAGTACCTTTTACCTAAATGTTTAAAGTAACATGTTGTATTAGTGGACTATGGGAAATCTTTTCATCTTCAGTTTAATTAAAAAAAATCGAATCAATATTTTCACCCAAATTTGGACTGTTCATGTGTTATTGCCAGTAGAGGGGGAAAGTATTTGCTTTCCCCCTCTTTCCTCTTTAGACCTGAACCATCTGAGCACTAAACTGATTGGATGATTCAGTTAATCTTAATGCTTTCCATTAGATATAAGTTGGGTTTTTTTTTTTAAATTTAAATCAGAAAACCAATGAGTAGCTATAACTCCCGAAAATGTAAAATAGTAAGAGCAGCTTTCTAGGATAATTTCGTCTTAACTATAGTGGTGCAGAAGTATGGCATAGTATGAAAAAATACATCTTGAATAAAATACAAGGACCTCTCATTTAGATATGACTGTGGTATACAATTTCACAACCAGTCCACACAAGCACAGCTATCCGATTTCATTCCCACCAACAGAAATCCCGCTGCCTGAGACACTGTAACTCTCCAAGAAATAAAACTTACTTATCCCAGAATGGACAGAATACAAATGCCCAATTTCAACTTACTTAGTTTGCATTTGCAATCCCCCTGCTCCCATGTGACATTTAAGTGCATAAATTAGTGTCACGTCGGCTAAGGCTCAAGCATACAAGACGACGTGTTGCATGTAGATGTCGGTGATTGACGCAAGGCTGGCAAGAGAGCAGCCACACAAGGACAGAAGATGAGCGATTTAATTACTTACTACACTCCACACCACACTCTGCATCCGCCCGTTCTGTTTATCAAATCAACTGAGGGCCATGTACTAAATATGAATGTGTGTATGAGGCATAACAACAAACAAACATGGTAATTATGTCCCAAGCTAATTTAATTCTGTGATTATGGCAACATTGCTATTTTTATGCTTCCATTGTATTCTCACGGCAGCCTTCCCTGGAGATATTACCAAACCAGTATGAATTTTATGCGGTGCGTTTCCTCTCTCAGATGGCAGAAGACGTTCTCACCGATTGGAGAGGAGGTTTTTTTTCCTAAACTATTGTGTTTGGTTGTTCTTTTGAATGTAAAAGCTGATATGAGGTTGGAAGAAAGTCTGTGGAGTTTGTTTTTCCGTTCAGGGGGGAAATTAGCAAGACCGTTAGAGCATTGCATTATGTAGTCTGGGCTTTAAGTTGTTAGGCTGCACAGGAACCTCAGAGGTCAGCTGCTTTATCATTTCTAATCATTGTTTGTTAGAGTAGACAAGCTAGGGCTGCTCGATTATGGCAAAAATGATAATCACGATTATTTTCACTGAAATTGAGATCTCGATTATTTGACGATATTTATTTAACAATAACAATGTATTGAATAATGACTTTAAAGATTGTCAAAAAATAATATAAAATAGTGTGCAAATACTGATAACAGTGCAAATGTTTGCAATATAAAAAATAAATGAAAAATGTAAACATCTATGTTTAGTGAACTTTGCAGTGTTGCTCTGTGGTGCAGCTACGACATTGTAGCAAAGTTTACACACTATGTCTACTTGATCCACGTCTGACTCCACGAACCCATAATGTTTCCACACCACTTAAGTTTTTTACCTTTGTACCTCTCTTTTCAACCAACAGCAGTCACTCTCCTCTCCAAATAACTTCTGCTTAGCTTTCCGAGCTTCCCTCGGGTCCTCTTAATCAGCGGTCCCCAAACCCCCGGGCCTCGGACCGATACCGGTCCGTGAGTCGTTTGGTACC